ACGGTGGGCAGCCGGAGATCTTTGCTAGAAAACCTAGCTCGAAACCTGCGAAGTGCAGAAATTCCTGAGGAACTGACCATTGTAACTCCTTTCCTCGGCCGAGCTGCATTGCTGGGTTTATATCCTTAGAAGAACTGAAAGGACCACATCATAGGCAGGTTTGCAAGCCCACACTCGTCCTCATAGGATTTACACATACAACCCATGGGGGGATTTTTATAGGAATTGTAGGTTGGACACTTGCAAAGTAAGAAAGCTTATCTTTAGAGGCTCCAAGTTTTAATGCGCTCCAGCTTGTCAAAACCAAGAGCAATTAAAGCCCTGTTGTGTGGTTTCGAATGATAGCCTACTTGTTAAAATAGCTATTGTTTCCCCTGAGGACAGCCTGCATTTTTACCTTGATGTCATCTCACTTTGGGTCCCAAGGGGGCAGGCAACTTAACAGAACGAATAGAGTTCTGAGATAACAGTGAAGTCTAAGGTGATGAGAGGAAATTAGTTACCAATTTTAGTGACCTTCGGGCGGAGTTATGGCATGAAAGCCACATAAGCCCAGGATCGGACAAACAAACAAGTGACATCAGCCAAATAAATCTGAAGTCAAAAGTGGTATCTTGATTATCATTACTTCACCTTGGACGGTGTTAGGATGTCATCTGCCTCGAATATGCTGGTAGAGAGGACTGTGCTTTATTATGGGATAGACGCGTTACTACCACATGGAGGAAACAATTTTCCGCTTCACCCAAGGCTCCAGATTTCACCCCTGCTGCACTGAGGGTAAACACTGAGGCCAAATGGTCCTAGATTTGGGACCCTTGCGTCTGTTTGGCCATCACCATCTGACTCTTTGCCCCAGCAGAAAGCTGCCTGCAAAGACGGAGTAATAACCTCTCAAAGTTGTCTGTGGGAAGAATACAAATCAGCAACAAAACCCACTTTTTATCTCTCTTAAGACCGTGTCTATCGCTACGTGGTTCCCTCATTTGTCCATCTCGGCGACGGCAAAGACCTGGTGCGGGTTAACAGAAGCCACTCGTCTTAGAAGATTGGAAACAAAATGTCACTCTCCTCACTTTCCACCGCAAAACGAAATGAAGTCCAACCATTCGCCTGAGGTGAGTGAGTCAGGGACAGAGGACTGGAATGCAGGACTTGATTCCTGGTTTCCTAACCCTAACCACATCCTCCCTATCTCGGACATTTAGGCTGGTTATTGTACTGTGAGTGGCAGGAATGGGAAAGGGGATGGTTTCCTTTTTATATTTTCATTCAGAAACTTACTTACATCTGAACTCTAAGCCACATGTAAGACACTCCATTTAAACTCTAGCAGGAGCAAGTGATGATTCTTAACATATAATTTGCATCGGAGCCTCAGACACCACGATTTTTCCTGCATCTCAAGCAATAGAATTGACTAGGTGTTCCTAGGGCTCAAAACAGAGAAGAGAGTAAGGCTAAAGAGGAGAGGCTAAAACCTAATCCTAAACATCTTTTCTTTTTAAGTTTATTTACTTATTTTGAGAGAGAGAGACAGTGAGCAGGGGAGGGGCAGAGAGAGGGAGACACAGAATCCCGAGCTGGTCCCCCACCACTAGCTGGAGTGCGATGCGGGGCTTGTGAACCGTGGGATCGTTACCGCAGCTGAAACCAAGAGTCGGACCCTCAACTGACCAAGCCACCCAGGCGCCCCCTGCTCCTAAACGTCTTAAAAGTCAAAAGAACCAATGATCATTTACTTACCTAGTTTCTACCCATAATGTCTCAAAATAAGTTCTCAGTTTTTAAACTTCGTATCAGAAGTTCATATGACTTCACATAGGAGAGACATTAATAAATGTAGCTTTTAAATTCAGGTTTACATTTTGCATCAGAGACTATAAGGCCTTTGCCTTGTGCAATGATGGTCATATTCTCACAGGTTTCTGGTTTTTTGTTTTTTTTACTCCAGTCATCTACCAAAAGAGTCTAGGAATAAACAACTAAACACAACGCATGCATTGTAATATAGATTCAGAAACATGTCAAAGCAACCTTACCCAACTGGCCTTGAAAAAGATAACCTTTAGGAAATCTTCCCGGCCTGTCCTGCTTGCTGAAGAGAAAATAACTAAACGCTTACTACTCAAAGTTCTTCTTCACCAGACAAGAAATTCTAGTCTTTCAGTATGAACACCTTCACTTGTGGAAACTCATCTCAGAGTGCAGGAACTCGTAGCATCTAGTTCCTCCGAATATTCTTCAGTCAACAAGTTGTCCACCTAGCTAAGGGACAGCTTCCTGGAATTAAGACTGCAGAACCTAGGTTATAATTAACTCAGACTTCCTCCTCCTTTTGTACCTTGGCCATGACCTTAATCCTCACCTAGATTTTCCATCCCATCTACGGATAAAAATTTGTTCTAAATTAGATCAACTGAACTCTATTCCTGTTAGCCTAAGATAAGTTGGCATTGGTGGCTGAAAGGAATCCTAAACCAATTTTAGACCATTTAGTTAGACTTTAAGCATGACTCCAAAAAAAAAAAAAAGCTAGACATCTCGGTGAGAGGATAATATTGCTCACTTGTACCCTTTTTTCTCCCCCTAGTAAAAAGAAAAAACTCACTTGATAATGTTAGGTCCAGTGAATTTTTTCAAAGTAATTTGGAGGCCAACAAAATGCCTCCCATTCCAGAACTGTGGGATCGACAACACACAGAATTAAAAGGAGTGATAAAATGGAAGGGACTTTGGAATTTAACAGGTTTCAACTGCATGGAATTGAAGTCCCATTTAAATAATGGTCAGTAGGTCCATTGCTACTTATTTAAAGAGCTCAAAGCCCTATCCTATATGATCTCCTTGGTTCTTGCAACTTGGCAGAAGATAAGGTTTTGGGGATAGAGAACAGAATAAGTGTTTTCCAGGTGTGAAATTTGAGATTCAAAGAAGCTGATTCAGAATCTTCACTCACATGCAAGTCTTCCAGAAAAGAGGTATACTTTACCTACTGCATTAAGGAGAAAGTAGAGGGGCGCCTGGGTGGCTCAGTTGGTTAAGCGTCTGACTTCAGCTCAGGTCACGATCTCACGGACCATGAGTTCGAGCCCCGCGTCGGGCTCTGGGCTGATGGCTCAGAGCCTGGAGCCTGTTTCCGATTCTGTGTCTCCCTCCCTCTGACCCTCCCCCGTTCATGATCTGTCTCTCTCTGTCCCAAAAATAAATAAACATTAAAAAAAAAAATGGAGAAAGTCGAAACTGTGCAGCACGGACTCCTTCAATTCCCTCCCCTTCACCTCAAACTAATCTGTTCCTAACTACCCTTCCTCCCTTTCTATCGTCCTAGAGGGAAGCATTTTGGACATTCTTTCCAAAACTATCCTTCTATATTTGCTCTTGATTCTCTCCCTTTCTATTCTTCGGGGCCCTCTCCCTATCCACCCCCCATTTTCGTTTGTTCATTTATTGGTTCAACAAGCATTTATCACACTCTTGTTACAGGTCATACTAGGTTCTTGGGACACTAGAACAAAAGACCTCTTTCCCACCTTCACAGTGCTCACAGTCTAGTGGAAGAGGTAGCAAAATGAACAATTTCAAACCACACAGTCACGATACAGCGTGTAAATAGCCACAGCAGAAGTCTGCATATTACGCGGGTTGTTGTACACACAGGACAGTTTAAAGAAGGCTGGAGCAGAGCGGGTAACACGTGAGCCGGACCTAGACGTTAGCCACCGGGACAAGTGGGGAAGGAACGGCGTTTTAAACGGAGGGAATAACATGCACCAAAGCATGACCATGCAAGAAAATCGCAATCCAGGAAGGCAAACAACACAAGGAATCAGAGGTGTGTTTGGAGGTAAGCAGTGAGGGAGCATTTGAACAAATAATAAGGATCTTGAAGACGACAGGAATTATTCAAGTATCTTAAATATTTAAGTATTAAAGTACGGTCTAATTTGCATTTGAGGAAGTTCAGTCTTGCAGCAGAGGACGATTAGACTGAGAACTATTGCAGTAACCCTGAAGACAAATGGGCAAGTGGGAGTGCACGGTGATGCCATTAGAAGAGGTGATTCAGGAAGAGGCAGACTTCAACGTAAAGGGGAATTCAGTTTAGGGACACACAAGTGAAGGTGTCCAACAGAATATTGGTTATATGAGTCTGCAATTTAAAAGTTAGGAGTGCCTGGGTGGCTCAGAGCCCCACATTTGGGCTCTGTACTGACAGCAAGGAGCCTGCTTGGGATTCTCTGTCTCCCTCTCTCTCTCTGCCTCTCTCTCTCTCTCTCTCCCCAAAATAAACAAATCAGGGGCACCTGGATGGCTCAGTCAGTTCAGTGTCTGACTCTTGGTTTCGGCCCAGGTCACGAGCTCATGGTTCATGAGTTCAAGCCCCGCTTGGAGCTCTGCTCTGACAGCACAGAATCTGCTTGGGATTCTCTCTCTCCCCCTCTCTCTGCCCCTCCCCTGCTCGGGCACACACTGTCTCTCAAAATAAGTAAATAAGTAAACTTAAAAAAAATAAAGAAATAAACATTAAAGAATTTTAAACTAATATTGCCCCGTATGTGAACTAATCAGAATTTAAATAAAAACTTAAAAAAATAAAGAAAACTGAAAAGTGGTTAGTGGCGGAGATGTGAATTTGGAAGTCACAAGCACATCGGGGATGACTGGGGACTTGAGTATGAGGCAAGGTTGCTTGGGAAGAGTGAGTAAGCTCCATGGGGGAAGGCAGGCATTTTTCCAGGTTTTGTTTATTACTATTTTCCCAACACCTAGAAGTGTCCCTGGGCTTTAGTAAACAATCAGTAAGGTGGTTTTTTTTTTTTTTTTAATGTTCTTTTTTCTTTTTTCTTTTTTCTTTTTTTTTTTTTTGAAAGAGACAGAGCATGAGCAGGGGAGGAGCAGAGAGAGAGGGAGACACAGAATCCGAAGCAGGCTCCAGGCTCTGAGCTGTCAGCACAGAACCTGATGCAGGGCTCAGACTCACGAACCGTGAGATCATGACCTGAGCGAAAGTCAGATGCTCAACTGACTGAGCCACCCAGGTGCCCCAGTAAGTATTTAAATGAATGAAATACTGGAAAGAAAAGAGGGCTAAGAACATAACTCTGAGAAACACCGACATTTACATGAAAAGAAGCCAGTGAGGGGGTTTGAGATAGAGAGTTGAGAGAGGTAGGAGGAAAAAGCAGGAAGGAAAGAGTGGGGGTCACAGACACCAGAAGTTCGACGATGCTACGAAAAGACTGAGAACAAGCACTAAAAAGTCTTCATTAGTTTTAGCACCCGGAGAGTCACAGGTTTTTTTTTATGACAGCCATATCAGTGGGGATGGCAGGCAGGTGATAGTGGTTTGAAGCGTACAGGGATGGTAAGAAAATGGAGGCTGTGAACGTAGATATTCTTTTCAGAAACTTGGTTGCATGGTCCTTAAGCAATTTTCCCCATTTATTTTATCTTTTTTTAATGTTTATTTTATTTTTTTGAGAGAGACACAGAGACAGAGAGAAAGGGAGGGGCAGAGAGAGGAGGACAGAGGATCCAAAGCGGGCTCTACGCTGACAGCAGAGAGGTCCCATATGGGGCTCGAACTCCCGAATCGTGAGATCATGACCTGAGCCGAAATCGGACGCTTAACCAACTGAGCCACCCAGGCGCCCACCATTTATTTATTTTCGGACCTAGGCAGCTCTTGTAATCTGTCACTCTATAATGAGCATAAACATATACATTCAATTCACTTAATCATTTATGTATCCATTCATCCTCGATGCTCTTTCTCTCATGCCCTACGCTTAACACATCGGCAAATTCCCACTCTGTCTTTGTAATATATCCTGAATCTGACCATTTCTCATCACCTCCACACTACCACCCAAGGCCAAGACCCCATTATCTGTCAACTGGACCAGTGCAGTAATCTTTCAGCAGATCTCCCTGCTCCTACCCTTGCCTCTCTCTTATCTATTCTTTTTCCTTTTTTTTTTTTTTTTTTTTAGGATTTTATTTTTAGGTAATCTCTACACCCAACATGGGGCTCAAACTCACGACCCGGAGAAAGAGTCACAGGCTCCACCCACTGAGCCAGGCAAGCTCCCATCCCTCTAGTCTGTTCTTTTACCCCCAGCCAGAGTCACCCTTCCAAGTATGAAGTCATGGGGCACCTGGGATGCTCAGTCGGTTGAGCGACCGACTTCAGCTCAGGTCATGACTTCAGCTCAGATCACAATCTCACGGTTCATGAGTTCAAACACCCGCATCGGGCTCTGGGCTGACAGTTCAGAGCCTGGAGCCCACTTCAGATTCTGTGTCTTCCCCTCTCTCCGACCCTCCCCCTCTCGCGCTGTCTCTCTCTCTCTCTCTCTCTCTCTCTCTCTCAAAAATAAATAAACATTTAAAGAAGTGTAAAGAAAATACTAAGTCATATTTTGTCAGTCTTCTCTTTAGAACCCTCCAATGGCCTGTCATCTCCTTTTAAGTCCCTGTGTAATCTGAACCCCCACCCCCACCCCCGCCATTACTTTGTTCACCTCATCTCCTACCACTAGTCCCCTCAGCCACTCCACACCAGCCTCACTGGCCCCCTTCTTGTTCCCTCAACACACTCCACCTCAGGCCTTCTGTATTTGCTGGTTCATGCTCGGGACACTCTCTCCTCAGACATCATCGTCTCCCTCAGCGCTCTGTTCAAATATCCAAAGGTCTTCCCCGGCCAACCTTCACAAAACCATCACACCGCCGCCTCCCTCGCAGCCTTCTCTTCTCTTTGTCCTGCTTAATAGCACTTGTCCCCAGCCGGCCCATCACAGTCATGTATTTATTGTCTCTTTCCCTTCACTAGACTGTGAACACCTACCAAGTACAGCTACCAAGAGCACCTCCTCCAGAGAAGCGGAGGTAAAGATAACTGAGAAACTATCCCTGCCCTTGAGGAACCCACACGTCCGTGAGTCATAGAACCTAACGAGTAATTAGGATGGAAACGCTCAAAGCAGTTGGATTCGAGAGTCTGAGGCCCCGGGGAACAGTGCGGTTTGGGCCACTCTGCCAGTAGTTAAAATCATGAGTTCACCCTAAGAGAATGTAAGAAATGAAAAGCACTCAGGAGACACCGATGTTTAAGGGGTGAAGGTCAGAGAAAGGAGGCCAAGAAGGGATAATAATAATCAAGGAAGTGAAAAAGAGCTGGAAGAAGGAGCCGCTGACCTCAGAGCTGCTAGAGCCTTCGCAGGACGCTCCGGATAATCAAGCAGGGATCATGCCTTCCGATTCACTCTGTGTCAGCTACCGTTCGAAGCACGTTTCCTATGTTCTCACGTTAAGCCTCACACCAACCCGGGGAGTTAGGCACTGGTATGTCCCTATCTTGCAGAGGACGCCGATTCACTCACCCAAGTGCGCACGCCTCCGGAGAGAGATCAGAACCCAGGCAATTTGAACTAGCCCTCTTAACCGCTGTGCTGTTATCCATACTACTATGCTACGCTACGTCTGTACTTTTTTTTTTCCCTATTTTACTGAGTACCTGCTAAGGGCCAGGAATTCTAGGCCCTGGACATAGAGTAGTGAGGTAGACAAGGTCCCTCTCTTCACAGAGCTCATATCCTTGTGCGGGACAAGGACACGGAACAGGGCAACAGACGCGTAATAGACAAGAAGTGCTGGGAAGAAAAATGAAGTCGGGTAAGGTTCCACAAGTGATAGGGAGTTGCCTCTCTGAGGAGGTGACACTGAGTAGCGACCTGAAGGAAATGAGAGAGGGAGCCAAGAGGATATCTGAGGGAAGAACATTCCAGGCAGAGGCAACAGCAAGTGCAGGAGCCTTAAGGTGTGAGTGTGCCCGGTGTGTTCCAGGAACTGCGAGGAGGTCAGTGCAGCGAGAGCACGATGAACTAGGGGAGAGAGAGGCAGGTGATAAGGTCGGAAAGATCTGGAAAGGTTTCCAGGTCGTATTGTTAAGTGAAAAAAATGAGGGGATCAGGCATACTAGTTTGTATGTTATAATCACATTGAGTATCTCTCTACACAGACTGTGTATGTTTCTATACGTAGAGATTGGTGAATTTTATATGTATATGTGCTTATTTATATTCTGAAGTATTAGACAACAAACTTAACAGTGATTACCTTTGGAGGGAAGGAAGGGATATTCAGACTTTTAGTTGTTCCATGCTGTTTGAAAAATTTCACCTTGCATATATTACTTTTATAGTAATCAAAAGTTAGCTTAAAAAGCTACAACAATGGGTCACCTGGGTGGCTCAGTAGGGCTAAGCATCTGACTCTTGTTTTCGGCTCCGGTCATGATCTCGCGGTTCATGAGTTCGAGCCCCATGTCAGGCTCTGCGTTGGCAGCCAGGAGCCTGCTCGGGATTCTCTGATTCTGCCCCTTCCCTGCTCGCTCTGTCTCTTTCTCTCAAAATAAGTGAACTTAAAAAAAATCAAAATAGGGGCGCCTGGGTGGCGCAGTCGGTTAAGCGTCCGACTTCAGCCAGGTCACGATCTCGCGGTCCGTGAGTTCGAGCCCCGCGTCGAGCCCCGCGTCGGGCTCCGGGCTGATGGCTCGGAGCCTGGAGCCTGTTTCCGATTCTGTGTCTCCCTCTCTCTCTGCCCCTCCCCCCTTCATGCTCTGTCTCTCTCTGTCCCAAAAATAAATAAACGTTGAAAAAAAAATTTTTTTTTTAAATAAATAAATAAATAAATAAATAAAATCAAAATAAATAAACTTAAAAGAAAGTGGCAAACGAAAAACTCTTAACCACATGTTAAGGGGCTCCAGCGAAAGTCTTTCTCTTTCCTTTTGCAGCCGAACCCCTCCAAAGAGTTGCCTCCACTCGCTTCTCGTCCTTTTCATTTCTTTCTCAACCAAATGCGACCTGACTTCAGACTTTGCTTTTTCCCTGCAACTTCTCTCACCACGATCGCTTGTGACTTCCCTAGGACTATGAGGGCCACTCTTCAGTCCTTTTGCCTCTTGATCTGGCTGCCACGTTTGACACTGTTTACAGCTCTTCTGTTTGCAACGCCTTCTCCTTTGGCTTCTCTCTAGCCCCGTTTCTCCCTCACTGAGCATTCTTTCTGAGTTTCCTTTCCTCGGCTACTTTTTGTCAGCCCACCCAGCAGATATGGGTTTCTTCTGGTTCCCTTCTTGACCCATTTGTCTCTGAGTGCCACCCACACTCTTTCTGTGTGGTCTCATCCAGGCCCATGGTCTTGGCGGCCAACTCGATGCCTCCAAATCCCAGATCTAGATTTCTTAGCCTGTTCTCGAGCTCCAGTCGGATCTATCCAGCTGCCTATTAAACAGCCACACCTGCAGGCAGCTCATCACCTCCAAAATCACCTTCCTCCTTTTGTCCTTGTCTCCGAGGGTGGTGTCAGCATCTGCTTGATCGACCCTAGCTGGCAACCTGAGAAAAGCCTCTCTTCTTCACCCTCCATATCTGAATGGACACCAAAAGTCATTCTCTCTACCAACTATCTTGGGAATCTCATTCCTACATATCCACTACCACTGCACCCATAATCTACATAATCTGGACTACCGCATATGGATGTATGAGTCTTAAGTCCTGGAAGAGCTCAGAGATAGTCTAACTGCATTCTCGGCTTCTAGTTTCACCATCAGCCTGTTTCTTACACCCAGTTGTCACAGTGATGTGGCACAAAGTTCATGATGCCGGTCGCTCCCTGAAATCTTTCCATTGTTTCCTAACCTGGCTTGCATAAAATCCAAAACCCTTGGTATGATCTGTGCAGCCCTCTTTCGATGCTTTTCCACATGTACCTTTAAAAAAAAATTTTTTTTTAATGTTTATTTTTGAGAGAGAGAGAGAGAGAGAGAGAGAGAGACAGAGTGCGAGAAGGGGAGGAGCAGAGAGAGAGAGGGAGACACAGAATCCGAAGCAGTCTCCAGGCTCTGAGCTGTCCGCACAGAGCCCGACACGGGGCTCGAACCCACAAGCAGCGAGATCATGACCTGAGCCGAACTCCGACTCAACAGACTGAGCCACCCAGGCGCCCCTTCCACGTGTACCTTATGTTCAAGCAACACTGAAGTATTCTTTGTTTCTCAACGGCCTCTTTCCTTTCCATGTTTCTGTGAAGGTTTTGTCACATAGCATCTTCATATCTCCAGATCTAATATAATACCTGGTACAAAACAGATGTTCAGTAAAGGCTTTTTGAGTAAATTAAAGGACAGAAAGTTGAAAGTAAGGATACCAATGAGAAGACTACTGTAAGAGTACAATTTAGAGGTAACTAGGAAGGGGCCCTGGGTGGCTCAGTCATTGAAGCATCTGACTCTTGACTTCAGCTCAGGTCATGATCTCATGGTTCACGAGTTCAAGTGCTGTCAGTGTGCAGAGCTGGCTTGGGATTCTGTCTCCCTCTCTCTGCCCCACCCCTGCACTCCCTCTCTCTCTCTCTCCCTCTCTCTCTCTCTCAAAATAAATAAATAAGCTTAAAAAATGTTTACTTATTTTGAGAGAGAGAGAACGAACGGGGAAGGGGCAAAGGGAGAAGGAGAGAGAGAATCTCAAGCAGGCTCCACACTCAGCCTGGAGCCGGTAACGGGGCTCGATCCCACTACTGTGAGACCATGACCTGAGCCGAAGCCAAGAGTCAGGCTTTTATTTTATTTTATTATTATTGTTTAATGTTTATTTATTTTTGAGAGAGAGAGAGACAGAAAGAGACAGAGTATGAGCAAGGGGAGGGACAGAGAGAGAAGGAGACACAGAATCCGAAGCAGCCTCCAGGCTCTGAGCTGTCAGCACAGAGCCCGACGCGGGGCTCGAGTTTGGGAACGGGGAGATCGTGACCTGAGCTGAAGTCGGGTACTTAACCAACCGAGCCGCCCAGGCACCCCTTAAATAAAATGTGTTTTTAAAACAAATAAGTATATGCAACTGCTGAATTCCTCTGATAAAACAAGAGTCTTTGGGCATGAATCCTAACAACTGAGAGTTCAGCGGGGAAGGGTCACTTATTCTGCAAACATTAATTGGACTTGTACAGACACTGCTTAGCACAGAGGATGCAAAGATAGGTAATACACCTGGGGCACCTGGGTGACTCGGTTGAGCATCTAACTTCGGCTCAGATCACGATCTCAAGGTTTGTAAGTTCAAGCCCCATCTTTGACTCACTGCTGTCAGTGCAGAGCCCCTCTCTCTCTGCCCCAACCCCGCTCACGCTCTCTCAAAAATACTAAAATAAAATAAAAGATAAGTAAAACACGATTCCTGTTCTCAAAGAGTTCCTGGCTCCCAAATCATCTAGTCCTTACCTTTGGCAGGGACTATAACTAATCCTTTACCTAAAGCCAGCTGTCCACACTGGGGTCAGTATTTAAAGTCCTTTTAGTCATAGACGTAGCTATACCTAATTCTTTTGGAGCTCAGAAATGGGAACTCATGGATTCAGGGCAGTAGCAAAATGTAACCATTTCTTCCTTTAGGAAGGATGCCTGTGCAAAGGGTAATGGACTTGACCCTTTCTTCCCCACGAGACAGTAGCATCTAAAGATTCTGAACTGTCTTCTGTTCAGTGATGCTCAAGTCTTCCAATGGGCAAGTTGAAATGACTCAGCCACCGTTCTTTTTTTTGTTTTTCAAATGTTTATTTATTTTTGAGAGAGAAAGAGACAGAGCATGATTGGGGAAGGGGCAGAGAGAGAGGGAGACACAGAATCAGAAGCAGGTTTCAGGCTCTGAGCTGTCAGCAGAGAGCCTGATGTGGGGTCGAACTCCAGAACAGGGAGATCATGACCTGAGCCAGTCGGACGCTTAACTGACTGAGTCACCCAGGAGCCCCATCAGCCACCGTTCTTTCTTAGTTCGATGACTTTTGGGACCACTACTGCAATGTTTTCCAGTGGGGGCCTATTTGGAGAAAGGAAATTGCTGATTTGAGAGAGGGTATCTTCACTAATGCCTAAGGAAATCCCTGAGGGGAAATGTGTCTACCTGAATGAGAGAGAAGACACTTTATTTACGTTATGTCATTCAACCTTCATAATACTCTTATGAAGTTGCTATTAATATCCTTATTTTTGCAAATTAGGAAACAGGCGTAATGAGCCTGGTTGCCTGCTTCAAGATCACATGGCTACAGTTTTATTGGACCTACAGTTCAAGCCCAGATTTGTGGCATACTGGTTTGCTATGAAAAGTCTTTCCAGGGAGGAGAAAAGGGAGTAAACATCTAGAGGTCCATTCAAACCAGAGCATGAGCTTGCAGAAAGGCGCACGGTTTGGGGTTCTTGTCTTAAATGTTTCCTTTTATTGTTTGGGGAAAAAAAAGTGAAATATGTGCATTTCCAGTAGGTTGTCAAAGACCAAGAAGTTAAAAATCCTTTCTGGAAGTACGGGGGTGGGGGGGTGGGGGGGGAAGATGCTCTCTTAAACATTGCTGGTGGGGGTATGAATTAGTACAAACTTTACTGGGGACAACATCTCTCAAATTTCCAAATATACGTACCTTTTGACTCAGTAATCCCACTTCTAGAAATTTGTACTACAGATACATTTGCACACTGGCAAAATTACAAATAGTCAAAACAAGGCACTGTAAAATTGTTTGAAAGAGCAAAAGTTTAGAAACAACTTAAGTCCCCACTGACGGAGAACTGGTGAAGTAAATGATGCTCTATCTATTCCATGCAGCCCTGAGAATGAGGAAATGCCATCTACTAATAGGAATTATTTCCAAGATATAGATTTCCAGGCAAGATCCAGGAAGCGGGGGTGGTATTCTTTCGTTTATGAGAAAACTTCTATATGCACTTGCTTGTATAGGCACAAACCATCCCTGGAAGAATTATATGAGACACTGATAACGTTAGCTGCCCCTAAGAAGAGGTAAGCTATGACTGCAGGAGGGGAGTTCAGAACAACAGTGGAGGAAAGACTTTAATTCTTTTAAACATTTAACCATATGAATATATTAGGTATTCAAGAAAAAGAAACTGGGGGCGCCTGGGTGGCTCAGTTGGTAAAGTGACTGACTTCGGCTCAGG